ATATATATATATATATATATATATATATACATATATTTATATATATACACAAAAACATGTACGTATATATGTGTATATTATATAAGAGAGTGACGAGTACCTACGTAACGTCACATCATTCGACGTTTTATACACATATCCACACTCTTATAAAACTTATGTAAAATATTTTTTTTGTTATGCATGCATCTGCATAGGCCTATTGTGTGAAATATATAAAAATCGCGTAAAAAGATTTGTGAATGCACAATGGACTGTCTAAAAAATAATTTAGATAATTGTATGAATATTTTATAGTATTATAAGAATGTGGAAAGTTGGATGAAACATCATGAGTGCATAGCCGTTTATGTGAACATGTGTGCACCTACATATATATATATATATATATATATATATACATGTATATATGTATACGCACATATGCCGTCGAATATAGTATAAAGTTGTTGCTGCGCCTACTGAACGCTGAATTAAAATGTTCATCGTCGGGTGCGCTAATTAGCGCTCGTTTGTTTTACGATCTTTGCACGTTCACATGAAACATCCTGACCAAACTCAACATACAGAGATACACAAAATATAGAAGAAAACGATTGGATCCGCGATGTATCGATGGTCGCTCCTATCAGTATTTATGGGCGTAAGCGTCAGATAAATCTGTGCGATCCCATAGGAGCGAGTTCAGAGCTCGAGAGTCGAATCGTTTTTCTCGTACTCCTTGGCAACATGCTTTGCCTCTACTTGTCACTCAATATAACAGATACATACATACATATTGCAATATGTATGCGATATATAATGTCACAGTATATATCACAGAGCTGGGGTGGGGTCGAGAGATGTTGGTCGGGGCGACGGTGGTCAGGGCTTGGGAGTGTTCACCAGAAAAGATTAAGTGGAAACTTACTTATTGTAGAGGACAATGTCGGGACGCCAAATATGATCGGAGGGCACGTGTAACATATGCACGCCGCCGTATTCCTTCGGCTCCCAGCGCAGCTTGTAGTCGTACCAGGACTGAAACAACAATGCAATCGCTAGAAAATACCTGCCATTCATACATTAACATATTTATATTTATTCGATTACTCTATCACGACTATCGGGTTTGCCCAAGAATATTTTACGTCGTTCGTTAGCACCGCGCGCTCACATTCTCATACGCCTAACCTCACCTTTACACATGTGCTTATTATATAAGTTACCCTGCACACGCGCGCCCGCGCACGCACACGTCAATACGCATACGGAATTCAACGACTATGTAATAATTATATTAATGACTGCTGCAGTTTATCCATCTATCGAATGCGAATCTACCGAAACGTAATACTCCTTTTAATAATAGAAAATTTCTTTGTGAGAGCTCATCATTTCGTAATAACGTGCGATAATTTTATACGAACCTTATTGATAATTATATTATAAATCGTCATATAGTCATTATAAATAAAGTAAAATATACCTACAGTCACGTATTTTATAAATTATTGTCTATTTTTTAATCCAATTTCACATGTGTTTTGAAAAAAATTTTCTTTCCTACGATTTCAAACTATTAATCTTCGTGTGGTAATTACTCATTTATATAAATTCAGACTTTTTATTACTATTCCAAACTAATACAATTTTCTACGCATTCTGATAATTCTAATCCAAAGATTTTCATATCTTGTCCAATTAAAGTGTATTTTAGATGGCTCTTAATAGTTATTTTAGTTCTTTTAATTTACTCTTTTATAATTTTTTTATGATAAATTTTGTCAACAGAGCAGAGTAATTTAGTATTAATACACTTCCTTATGCTCATTTTGAATTAAAAATGTGCTCTGTTTTCTCAAACGGAAAATCTTATCTTTTTGAAAATTGTCTTTCTTCCGTCCGGACGGCAAAAATATCTACCTACATATTGGGTGATAAGCGAAAGGATAAGTCGAGTGAAAGATTGAAGATATTTTACAATATCTTAAGTAGAAAGAATAGAAAAGGAAATAGAAAAAGAAAAAAATTTACAGGTTATAAAATACGGAACAGACGGAGTTTGCAAATGTACATGTGTATGATGTGGATGTATTTCAAAGTAACAAGAGAGAATTACTGGATATATTTCAAATAAAATGCCTTGCGAGACACACGTCGGAGATTCTGTTCATCTTCTTTCGACCATGAAACTGCAGTATTTGCAAATTTACTTCGTCGGAAGGAATGTAACTAGATTATATATTTCTTTTTTCCTGTCTTCGTCCTATCTGTTTCCTGTCGAAAAATGATAGATATATTTTCTATTGGAATTGTTTCGATTAATTTAAAAATTCTCTTACCTACCCAAATCCAATATTGTTTAACTTTTACATCTGCTTTTTTTCAATATGTAATTTATCTACATTTGAAATTATAAATCCATCGATTACTATATATATATATATATATAATTGTTTGCGTGTGTGTTTATCCCCGTGCACGCAACGATGTATACACAGAATATATGTAATATTGAAAGTTCACTATTTGATAAAAGAAATCATATGATAAATATTTACTTTACTTATTGATCTATTTATTTAAAAATATTTAATTATACTCTATACAACGTAAATGATAATTTAAATAAACGTTATGATATTTAACTTTAATGAAAGCTATATTTTATTTAAGAATATATTTAAGATTTATGTTTTTGGTAGAAAAAATAAACATTTTTCTATAATTTCAAGATTCATACTTTCCTATACGATATCACCCAGTAAATATATTACAATAGATACATATAGAAACAGATTTAATAAAGTAAATATAAGTGGAAAATAAATAAGGAAAATATAATTAATAATTTATATAATCAAAATATTCAATTACAAGTAAAATGATTGAAGATAGAGTAGCTATTATATTATGCAAAAAAATAATTGACAAATATTCAAAAATTTATAAGATTTTCAGAGAATAAGTTAATTTTAGGTATTAAATCAAATTTTATTAAGATTAAAAAATATATTTATACAGATTAATCAATCAAGATGTAAAACATATTAGATTACGAAAATTGTATTTATAATACATGTATTTTAAACTACTAATATTTTTAATTGAATTTCATATATTTTATTTAAATGAAAAATTCATTGATTTATAATCTGCTTTTAACTATTGTACAGAATTTTGTATTCAGTAATAAGTATAAATCAACCAAAGATTTTTTAATATTAAATAATTGTCAAATTCCTTCTATTTATAAAAAGAATTTTCAATAAATAATAATAATAATAACAATAATAATAATAATAATAATAATAATAATAATAATAATAATAATAATAATAATAATAATAATAATAATAATAATAATAATAATAATAATAATAATAATAATAATAATAATAATAATAATAATAATAATAATAATAATAATAATAATAATAATAATAATAATAATAATAATAATAGTATATGTGTATAATAATTATCAAATAGTTTTACGAATTTTTAGCAGATGACGCTGGGAAATTATAAAATATGAAATTTACTAGAATCGTAGGTTAAATTTCTTAGGTTAAATTATATTGAAATTTGCTAATTTTATAATATTATGATGAAAATATTATTAAATAGCCTATAGGTACATCTGTTTCTTATCAGTTATGTTGCTTTTAGCATTCGAATGCATTAACTAATACAATTAATTGCGCGATTGAAAAATCAAATTTTCTTCTTTGTTTTGCACTAAAAATTTAAGCAATGTTACGTTATGAAAACAGAAATTATATTCCATAATATCGCAATTAAAATGGCTGTTTAGAAATTAAGAAACTATTGGTTGAAACACACATCGAAACAACATCCGTCAAACTGCTTGAAAACAAGATACTTTAGATAACGTTGGCGAAGTAAATTATTTTTACTGGAACTTCCATTTAAATATATGTAATTTGAACAAAATAGTATAAAACGTTTAGATGCGTTACACGAGACAATAAATTGGGATACACATTCTTTATTGATCCGTTAAATCATTGCATCGTCCCTGGAATTCTCATTAACAGCAATTGTTGACGGGGGCGATTATCGTCGTAAGTGGTCCGGTAAAATAGCGGAAGCCAGGCGAAAAGGAACGAGGAAGCAAAGATAAATGTAGCGATCGAGAGTTATTTCATCGGGCGAGTATATATGGATGGATGCACTAACTCCCAGGAGCATTCAGAAAATGAAGCTCTTGGGGTAGGAGAGTCCTCGGAGTACTCGTTGGTACTCGAACGCGACGAACGTGCACCCCACCGGCACTGGCTTCTTTCTGTCCTTCGCTCATCCACGGCAAATAGACAACCGACGCTCCGTACGGCATCTTAACTAATGTGCATCCGAGGTCGAAAATCTTTCGTTAATGCACTTCTTACTTTAGATACTACAGATAGAAATTATTGACTCAAGGGTTTAACAGTCGTGTATCGCGGAACTCCTCGCGATCCCATTATTCCTGAACATTTTACAAACAATCTTTAAGGACACTGGATAATCATAAAGTTAATATGTTTATTCATTGAAATTTTTTGCAAACGACTCTCGCGACTTCTCCAGTGCAATGACATTAAAATTGTATATTGAAATTTTGAAAACTGTTGATTTAACTGCAAGAAGACTGCTTTAGCGGCGTGTGCGACTGTTTGACTTGTAAAGAAAATTTGTTTAATGGATTTATCTTGAAATATATTTTTTTAAATATCTTGGCCATCCAGACTTTTGAACGATGGCATGGATCAACTTGAACAAATTTAAAAATGGATGAAATATGTTATTATGTTGTGAAGCACATTGATATCTGTAAATATTTATGTTTCTCCATGAAGAATTCATAAATGCCGATTCTTCTGAGCCGTTTTTATTGAAATATTTATTCTTGACTACAAAAAAAAAAAAAAAAAGAACGATCCATTTTCGCAACATAATTTAAAAATTTACTTCTCATTTCATTATATTTGACAAACACAAATATACATGAGAAAAACAGGTATAAAAAATAAGTGTAATAGAATCTTTTACTCGCAAATGACTTTAAGCGCAAAAAAGCCAATTCTGTTATTTTCATATGAAACTTTTTGAATTTTTTATTACATACAATAGAAAAAAAAATTTAATTTATAATTCAATATTTTGATAAGTCAATTGGCACAACTAAATACGTGTAATCCTTAAACAAAAGATCTTAATTACTAATATTATTTTAACATTGAATTCCTCTTTTAAGATGTAAAATATGAAAAATAAGAGTATTTGAAAGAAATAATATTTTTCAACTAAACTGTACATAAATAGTATTTACCTAATAATAATTTGTGTTCAAATTTCAAAAATTATCATTACCAAACATATTCATTAAGTTTTTAATTTTTAATGCGTAAAATTAAAGCTACACCGGGCTTATCTTTTGCATCTCATTCTTTATTAAAATCTTTATTATGAGAATGAATCATGAATGAAAAATCAACGTTAATAATAGTTGTTAACCGACTTCAGGATGAATAAGTATTGTCGAAAAGTTCAGTATTGATGGGAAAATTGCGGAAGTATTTTCCAGAACGTGCCACATTTAATTTTGTCCGCTTGTATAAACTTTGCGTATATTTGGAATCCTAGGAAAATATTGAAAATTAGTTATCTGCAATTTGAAATGTCATAACAAGTGGAGGTAGCTTTTTAAAATCTTTATGCAGCGGCAGATTCAATTTTAATTATCCAATCATTTTAAGTAAAAATTTTTTGACTAATGTATTTTTAGATAGAAGAAAATCTATTTTATAGCCAGTTGTTTTACATTTAGGAGTTACTAATCCCACATCTACATAAACTGATCACATTTTCTACATAATATACAGCAGAAATTAATTTATACATTTAGTCTATATAAATGTAATGTAAAGTTAATCTAATTTTTACCATAACCGAAAATGTTCACTTTACTAAAAATATTATAGAAATTGTAAATTTTCATTACGATCAACAATAATGATTTTCGTTTATACGCGGATTAGAATGAGAATTAATGTTTATGATAAATTGCATTTAATGAATTCATATATTATATTAAATTTATATCTTATAATATTTATTTCACCATTTTTTAATATTTTTTTATTAAAAATTACATTAATATCTAGTGTAAATTGTGTATATCACACACTATTTAAAAAATACTTTTAAAATTTTTTCTTCTAAAATTAAAATTTGTTTAATCAAATATTTAATATAATAATAAAATTACATAAAATAAATAATATAGCAATAAATATAATAGTAATATATACTACAGATATAATAATTAATTAAATGTAATGAATTAAAAGGTAAATAAAGCATTTAAAAATAATTATTAATCACCATTAATTCAATATTTTGTTCTGAACTGAAGTTTACTTAACGAAATTATTATTGAAAATATTAGTATATATTGACGGGAATGAAGTAAAATAATAAATTATTAAAAGCTTTAAGTTTGAACGAGAATAAAATTAGTTCAGTTATATTGATTAGAAATTCACTTTCCAATGAAGAATTTTGATCCGAACCTGGAGTTTAAAATATTTTCAAGATATCCATATTCATAAAAGCGAGGAAGAAATATCTTGAAACTCACTAATTTAATTCTTTTTCAATTGGCAAACCTTCCATTTCAAGTAAAAAGAAAGCCGTTTGACAAAGAAAGATATTTATTAATACACTTTTGCAAGTGAATTAAAATGAAACTACGTTAAAATCTAGAATTTTATTAATATTATATTCGGACTTTCTCACACGAACTTTCTAATTCGATAAAATTTATATTATACTTTTAAAATATAATTTACAATGTGTGTATTATTGAATTGTAAGAATAATAACATTACCGAGTGACTAAAAAATGAGAAACATTAATTGTGATTCTAAAAATATACAATATTTTATTGCTGTTAAATAACAATAAATAATCTATAATATCGATTTAATGTTAATTTCTTTACAAATATATACTTTACAATTTATAAATATATACCTTCGTTATTGCTTATAAGTAATAATTCGCAAAGACATCAATTTTATGTCACTCACAAGAAAATACATATAAACAATTAAATTTCGTTTAAAAAAAATTTAATTAAACTCGGATTGAAAATAATTTTCAAAGTTATGTGAATTTAAAAGTTATAATCATTTCTGTCGCAACGAATGTTGTCAATGAGCGAAAGTGTGAAAATTAAAGCTTTTGTCGAAATTTAAGAGATTAATTTAAACTACGCAGTAGTTTTGCTATTTTTCTTGCTGTTTTTCTTTCATATTTTAGTTTTCATTCATTTTAGTTTTAAATATTAGTTGAAACGTTATTTGATATATGGAGATATTCTGCGTATAAATCCTAATTACTTACTTGCTCTACCCACAGATTCGTCGTCATGATCTGGTTCTTTAGATTCTGAAACAAAAAACAATCAGAATCAATATGTTTTTTATTTAATTTTGCAAAAATTCAACAATCATACATTGTATTAAATATGAAGCAAATAAAGATTCCAAATTAACATAATATAAATTGACTAATTGTATTAAGATATTGGTAGAAATGTAATTAATTGTTTGAAATTTCGGATAATGGCAAATAAATTATAATATTATACATCAATTTCATTGATTTGACTTGAATCGCTGACAATTCAACGTACTATATTATTTGTATTGGTAAAAGTTTTAAATCTCAATTTATCACCATTGCTAATTGCATGCCAATATTTTTCAGATAAAAATTTTATGATAGCTCGTTAAAATTTCTGGTTTAATCTAGAAAGTTAGTTACGATCTTTAATATATTGTATAAAATCAATTTCCTTTAAGAGCATAGGAGTATGTAATTTAAGTAAGGACATTCTGCCTCTTGATGACGAATAACCGTAAATATTGCAATTTTAACGAATTTTATTTTAACTTTCATTATTATGCTGGGATTTTTCATTAAAGCAAAAAAAAACAAAACAAAACAAAAAAAAACAATAAAAAAAAACAATAAAAAAAACAAACAAAAAACAAAAACAAAAACAAAACAAAAACAAAAACAAAAAAAAAAAACAAAAAAAAAAAACAAAAAAAAAATCCGAACTGACGTAAATGAATTATATAATTCCTGCAATTTTTACTCCATATAATCCACATGATGTTAAAATGTATAGCGAAGCTCGGTGATGAAATTGCAAAACTTGGTGATTTTTGGCCATGTCACGAACAATGACAATGTAATTTCCCGGTTCTTGGAAGCTACTGTCGAGTAAATGCAATGAGTTGCTCGAAACTGTTGTGATATATCATCTGGTAGATATTAACCGTTGCATTTTGGGCGAAGAAGTTAAGCGAGCTTCGAGATATTTAACATCCATTTATTAAACTTCAACATTTGTATGAGATGGACGAAATATTATGTTATTTTAAATTAAGGTTGGTGAAAGATTTAATTTAAACTACTTGTGGTTATATTATTTTTTCTATTTGTTGCTGAATAGACAAAAATTTACACAGATCAGGCAAATGGATATATTGTTCTCATAAAATTTGTAAATTAAGTGGAAAATTCGACTCAAGTTTTCGTGCTACACCGTATGCTCATTGCGTATGGTTATCATTATAAATACATTTGAAATGTTTAAATTAATTATTTGAATTTCATTCTATATTACTTTGATTTTTTATGTTTCAAATTTTCATAATATAATTTAATAATATCTGAATCATAAAGAAATATTCATTTATATGAATGTTATGTTGAATGTGAAACTTTGAAGTTTTACCTGATAATGACAATCCAAATATTTATAATCATGAACTAAAATATCAAAAGTAAATATTTATCGATGATATATGTTATTATCCTCAGCATTGCAATATTCGACTCTCTATATTTAGAGATATTTTCGAATTATATAAAAAAAATTTTTTTTTTTCAGGTAAAATTCAATTTATTCCTATGATTAAGAGTATTATGTTTATATAGAGTTGAAATTTTATTAAAATTTTGTACTTGATTTCTATATAAATGCTTTATCGAAAATGCTACCGACTTGAAAACTAAAGTATTAATATGCAGAGAATACAACGGGCCAATAAAAATGAATATTTTTTTTATTATATGTTACTTGTTTTTTTAAATAAATAATGGAGCAGTGCTAAGACAAAATAAAAAAATAAGAAATAAAATTTTCCGTATTTTAATAAAGTATTGTCGACTACTAAATATTCATGTTTGTTAAATGATATGTAAATAATAATCTAATTTTATCGGAGCTCATACTTGATATTATGATCGAGTTATAGGTATAATATAGATTTTTAGATTATAAAATGCATTAATGTCACTTGTACCAGTTTAAGCACTAAATGTCATCGTATTTGTATCGTTATTTTGTCGTATTTTTTGTATTTGTAACATACTGCTTATGTTAACCATTAATATCGGATCGTAACAACAATGTATATTTTTATAAAAAAAAAAAAAAAAAAAAAAAAAAAAGAAAAAAAGAAAAAAGAATAAAAGAATAAAAGAAAAAAAAAGTTTTTATTCTATGATTTATAAGAACTACGCGCAATAATTTATGTATTAGAAAAAAGTGAGTTTTAAACGACAAATTGGACAGTAAGGGAAATTTTTCTTTTCGTGTATTAAAATCATGCATTATAACTGCAAATACAAGCGAATTTTTTTAACCATATAAAAAGCATAGAGTCACGAGTCCATCATCATGTATTGTGAATATCGTCAACAAAGTGAATTTATGTTTGTTGTTAAATTAATTTCCATGTTAATATATGCTGTTCTATTGTAGTTGACGTGATATAGTGGGGGAGGAGCTTTACGAGTTGGAGAAACCGAAGGATATGCGAAATGCGAATGTGTCGACTAGTAGAGGCAATGTTTAGACAGTAATTTAATGGAAAGGTTTTCAATAGCATCAATTCGTATAAAGATGATTACACTGATCGATATCGTTCGATCCCATATTGTCTCGACGATAAAGAAAAAGTATTACGAGATTACGAGAAAGGTAACGATAAATTCTCTCTGGTTCAACGAACCTGATACTACAGAGCACTGTACATTTTAAACGCAATACAGCTCCGAAAATACGTATTTTTTTTTTTTTTTTTTAAAGTACTATTAGTACATTAAGATATAGATAGATAAGCGGATAACATAAAAAATTAGTTATCATACTGATGCAGGTTGAAGCTTATTACCAGTTAATGAAAGTAACACGTAAAGAAACATATTAAGATTCGTATAACAAACATATTCGCAAAACAAATGACTAAAAATCTATTTCATTTCAATGTAATCAGCTTACAAAGGTAAAAGGCAAGATGAATTAATGATAATTATGCTTAAAAAAATCTGTCGTTTTATTCGCGATCCGATATTGCGAATTTATGTACTCTGTTGTGCTGCACATAACAAATAACGACGAATGATAAAAATAATAAATACTATTCGAATCATCGTAGCCACGCGATTTTTCAAATTATGTATTTGCTAAGTAAAAAGCGTGAAATATTTTAATTGAACAGACAAAAAATGGAAAATTGGTCCAGTGGGACGAGATGCGATCCAGATTATAAAGCTCCTCGAGAAAGTCGATTGGTGAGCAGATACTCGAGCGAGGCGAAGTAGTAGAGAAATTCATTGAAAATTGATTGTAGAGGGGACAAAGAGAAATGTATTAAATTGAAAGCAATGGTAATTGGAGATTATTTCTTTCGTCAGCTATGAAGCCATAGGTAAACTTACAACCCATATAATTCACTTTAATAAATAATTTAGTATAATTTTATATTTTCCATATTTCCATAGTTTAGAGTACCATACTTTACCTTTAATTAAGAATATTATCAACAGCTGCATTTGCGATTTCTTTCAACATTATATTTTATAAAAATTCATTTTTGTTCAAGAATTTTTAACTGCAAAGCAGACAAATAAGGGCGTCGGTAGAAAAACGAAATTGTAATAAATCTAGAATACTTTTTAAGAATTGGGCAGATGGCTTTTTATTACCACATCACGATTTTCTAGAATTCTATGAAGAGAATAAAGATAGATAGATAGAGAGAGATAGATGGATAGAGAGAGAGAGAGAGAGAGAGAGACTCTGTGTGTGTGCGTGCGTGCGTGTGTGTGAAAGGGATCGATTATGACGAAGTGAGCGGAGAAAGTACGAAGAGACAAAGTGTGTAATCAGCAATTCGCATTTTACTTAAATTAATTACACTGGTCCGATGTAGTTGTTGTCGAATAATTTTCTTTAATAATGGATGTAGATTAATATACAATTAATTACTTAAATTACCCGCGGTAAAACAAAGTTTCTTGCTTTATCGTATTTTAAAAGTTTCATTTATCCAACACTAATGTTTGACGATATTGTTTAGTATAGACTTTTATTCTTTTATGGAATGAAATAATTATTACATGCTATAAAATAATTATACGAAGCATCTTCGAATATATTTTTAACTCCATATACATAAGTATTATATTCTGATTAATAATCGAGCATCAATATTATTAAAGTAATCAATATATATGATTATATAAAATATTATTGATATAATATCGCAGGCAGATCGAATGAGATAACCATGAACCCTTTAATCGTTCACCGTATTATGAAATAAAAAAAAAGATTCTTAAAGAGAAAATTTCTTACATTTTACTTTCTCTTTAGTTTTTCATATGTTTATGTAAGAATACTACTTCAAAAATAGACGACCCTAAACGAAAATTATATTAAAAACAAAATGAAATGAAGCATAATAATATCATCTCGCATATACATACACTAAATTACTGGAAGTATTCGTGCAATTTTTTGAATGCCATTGTAAGGATACGAATATAGTACGAATGTGTAACCAAACCAATAAAATGATTGTGTAGCTTCCAGACTTACAAAAAATGATTATTTTCTCTCAATTCAAAAGGATGACTAGTAATAGGAATGAATCTGTGAGAAAACCATTCCGATTATTTAGAATAGTATTTGAAAGTTGAAAGGAATGAATATACGTGTGAGAAAATGTAGCGACAACTGGCAATAAAATAATACGTGAAAGACTTGGAAATAACGATTTATTGGTATCAACTGGTCCGACATAAACACTGCATCATCGCTGACTTTCAACCTCATTATGCTGAATCCATACCAATGTTAATTCGATGGTAATACAATCTGAAATATACACACACACAGACACACACACACACACACACGCACGCACGCACACACACACACACACACACATATATATATATATATTCATACATATAAAAAACTCAATAAAAAGCAAAATACAATATCGGAAAGCTCACAAACTGATGGAATGTTGAACATTTACTGACGATATAGTCATCGCAGAATAATTTATTTTATAAATACC